GAATGTCTATGGATTTGTTTCTCTAGTCTTCCTGGACTAACACAGTCTTCAACCTGTCAATCAGGTCACACCTGATAATGCCTCTTTGTGGCCATGACCTTCTCACAAGAAGGGTTCTGGGAACCTCCCCTCTCTCTCTCTCCCTTCACCTTCCTGCTGGCTGACCTTGGTTGCGACCAGAGCCCTGCGATGTTACCACCCCCATCGGATCCACAAGACTTTGCACCCACCAACCTGTGACCTTCTTGCATTCTGCATCATTGCATGTGGTTGCATGTGGTCTTATGAACAAGTATAGGATTTATGGACTTGAGGTGGACTGGGCCGGGCTGTTTTCTCGATACATAATTACTCCTTGACATAAAGCTCTCTTACACATATATGAGTGTCACTGGATTTGGTTCTCCAGTCAACCCAGCCTCACACAGCTTCCCAGTGGGCCTGCCCAGTGCTGGACCTGCAATCGCACATGGCTCTTACCAGATAGCCTCTCCAGAAGGATTGAATGATGAGAGCTGCTTCCTCTTCTGTCAGCAGGAGGGAGAGTGGGATTGGTGGCCGGGGACTGGAAAGGAATAACATCGTCACATGTCCATGAGAATCTGTCCTTCTGCTTGGGCAATGCCTTTGATAATCGTTGTCTCTCTGATTAAATGACTCACCCACCTCCATTCTTAGAAAGTGACAGTACCATTTTGGACGGAAAAATTTATATGCTTAAGTCACCATTTTTCGTTTTAAACTCTCAGATGGAATTTTTCTTTCTTAAACGAACATAATCGGTAATCACTGGCTAGCCTGCTCTTCCTTGGGCAGATACAGGCTGCTAAATTCTATGTTAGTCCTCCAACTGCAACATACATGTCACTGACCTAAAAGTACACGCCCCGATTCAAGAGGCAGAGGAAAAGTCAACCTTTAGGGAGTACATTATAACTCAGCTAGCTCAACGGGCTCTTCGTCTGGGTTTCTACTGAAGGGAGATGAAGCAGTTCCTCTGTCCTGCGAGCAAGGCCGGGGAAGTCCTTTTCGACAAGGTGGTTTCAAGCCGCACAATTTCAGTTCTGCTGCTACATCTCAGCAAGCAGTACGCTCTCTCAAACACTAGGTCAATTGATCGTATCTGACCTTATGAGCTTTTTTGGTTAGTTTTTCAGTTTATACTGGGAATTTTGATCACAGAGAACAACCATGCTGGCAAGTCATGGTTAAATGCTTTTTATTGCTGGGTTTCTCCCCACCCCTCTCCTTGAAAGTTTTATAGGGACACGAACTGCTGACAAGGCTAGCAATTCTGACTTAATTCTGTGCTTTTGCGCTTTCCCAAAGTGCAGCTCTCTCTCTGAAAAGCACAGACCAAAGCTTTCAAAGATCTCAGAGCCAGATCAACTGTCCCCCGGGACAGTTCAGAGGCTGTAAATCTCTGAAGGAACAGGAAGTGTGCTTTCTCCCCTCAAATAGCGAGGGGGTTCAAACTGCTGACTTTGTCGTTAGCATTCCCATAGGTAACCCACCAGGTCCCTAGGGCTTTCAGACAAAGAACAAAAAGATAAACCTCCAATAGGATGTGGGGCCCATGAAGGACACACTCCCCAGAAATGATTTTACAAAGGGGGGGCTTCTCAAGGGCTCCAGCCTCAAAGCCCTCCCTTAGTAACCACCACCATTCCAGCTTACAACCTAAAACCAAACCAAGCCCCAGCCTTCAAGTTGCTTCTGACTCATAGAGACCCTACAGGACCCCATAGATCTGTCCCTGTGTCTCAAAGGCTGTATGTCTTCACTGGAGCTCATAGGTAGCTTCTTCAGGATCTGGGCCTAGACCCACCCAACCCCAAAGCCCAGGCTCCAGTTGCAGAATGGTGCTGACCCAGCAAAGTTCCTCTGGGAAAACTCCCTGACACCCTGTCTGACATCGGCTGCAGGATACTCCAGGACCTGAGCTTTGATTTCTCTCAATTGCTTTTAATTTAAATAATTTTATTGGAGGCTCGTACAACTCTTATCGTAATCCATATATGCATCCATTGCATCAAGCACATTTGTACATTTGTTACCATCATCATTCTCAAAACATTTGCTTTCCACTTGAGCCCTTGGTATCAGCTCATTTTTCCCCTCCCTCCCTGCTCCCCCCTCCCTCATGAACCCTTGATAGTTTATAAATTATTATTATTTTATCCTATCTTACACTGCCCAA